TGGGAATGATGGCAGTTGCAGTCCATCATTTCTGGAGAGAAGCTAAACTTGGATAGTTGATATAGGTCATCTGCGATGAGAGGAAACCATTAGCTCGAGTTAGTAAAGAAGAAACCATTAGCTCGAGTCAGTAGAGGCAGCTTCAGGTTATACTTTGGAGTCCAGAGGCTGAATAAACAATTAGGCTAAGTACTCTACAGAAATACTCCCCAAGCCAATTAAAGCTTCAGCTCCCTGGTATTTGTTATTGTGAAAAATTTTCCCTTCTTGATCAGTGCTTATCAGAGTGTAGTGTCCTCCATGGAGGGGAACCTCCACAGGTAGGAGCATCTAGTCCACCTTGGCTGATCTCATGGCTTCTCAGGGCTTTGACCTGGTTAGAACTTGGAAGGGAGATCATTGAATAATTTCAAAACTGTAAGGAAGGTTTTTTTAAAAAAATCATTTTTGAAAGCAAAACACTGCACAGCAGACTGCATGAATAGTCGCCTGGTATTAAATCTTACTCCATGAAGGGATAAAGAAATGGTATTTAAAAAATTGATAATTTGATAATCTGCATAACACTTTCAATGAAAGTATGTATTTCCCAAACATGGCTCAAGGCCTAATTGTTGTGAAAATTATTTGTATTGGAGTAATTAGTTCAGGCAGTCACAGCTTACAAACTGAAGCCACATCTTGATCTTCTCAATCCTAACGCCCCGCCCCATCCTACCGTTATTTCCTTCTCACTCAAGCTCCTGAAGCCTCATATTTTCCCTTTCTAGTGAAAAATATTGGCTCCACATTGAGGTTTATCATACCCCCAGCACATTCTTGTGCACGTCTACTCTAATTTGAGGAAATGTTTTGAAATATTCCATTATTAGACAAGAAGTATTTGTTTTCCTTTCATTATATTTCCTCTTAATTTTTCAGATCCCCATTAGGCAACTTTAAATCTGTGATGATTCAGAAAACAATGCTGAAATAGTTGTGTATAACATATGTTCAAAATGTCTGTTTCTTCTTAGGAAAGCAAAATATACATATGCACATACCCCTTTACGTTTTTCCTTTCTCAGGGTTTCAAATAAACACCAGCTCAGCTGTAGAAACAAGAATGCATTTCCTATTTAAGACTGCACTGCACTCCTCTAGGGATATGCATGTGAAAATTTATGTTTTAATTATGCAGTTAAATGAAATTATTTCATTTTTAATAGCTCCAATTTGCTGTTGAAGTAAACAGTTGGGCAAACTCTGACCCTTTGAAAATGTAGCAGGAAAATTTATATAGGACCTGCTAAGATTATATTGCATATTAGGTGACTGATCCTGTAGCACTGTGCTGTAGATTATTTGTTAATATATATTCAGGCCTTAAGATAAGAATCCCTGGTGGAAATGGGACTGAAATCCATGTTTTTTCGATCAACCTTTGATCAATAGTTTATATCCGAAGACTTTTAACTTTACAATTAAAAGTCTTATTTTAACTAAGAAAAATGATTAATAAAGGTAATTCTGCATTATTTTACTAATTTGCAGAATTAATTTTGGGTCAACTGCAATTTATTTCCCAGTCCACTAAATAATTGGTTGATAGTCACTATTTTAACAAGTCTACTAGCTATTGTTCAGATATTTTCAAACAAATCTTGCAATTATGAGAACTGGTAACTTAAATTTTCAGAAGGCTATATTCAGAGCATATAGTAATTTACCCACTATTATGTCAATGTCTCTATAAAATAAAGTACTAGCATATTATGCAAGATCACATCAAACAGCTGTCAGAACAAATGACGCAGTTAAAGATGTACAATGATGATAGACTGAAAAATTTCATTTTGGCATTTAACTGTTTTATGTCTGTAATGGTTCTTATACACTAAGTGTCTCTTTGTACAACACACGAAAGCTCTTATTTCCAGTGTCTTCCTCTTAACTAGTAAATAAGATATTTCTGTTTTCTTCTTAAATTACTAACAAATTATTCAAAATTAAATGCATTAAAATTTATTTCAAAACTGACACTGAATGTCAATATTATTTTAAAAGGCTATAAAATAAAGATGGAAGCTTAATTCACTAATAATGTGCAACTTTGGAGCAAATGAATCACATTATACTTGTATTTTACTATGAATTGGTTTGAGAATGTTTTAGAAAATGATAAAAATTGTACAGATTTGTGCAAAATTGTAAAGATTTAAGTTTTTAAAATTGCAGTAGGTAGAGTTATTGTATTATTTAAATCTTGAGAAACATACATTGTAATGAATATATACTCCTTTAGAATATATTTTTAAAGAATTCTACTTTATTTGTTATGAATGAAAACTTAGCAAAAACATATAACCAAAGAATCTCAGTTAAATATTGATTAGTTCAGCTTTTTACAGGGAGTTATATGAAGAAAAGATATATAGTGTACTATTTAAATAAAATATGTCTTACTTTATTAATCTTTTTGAATATTTTTAATAGCAATTTTTTTCATGAAACAAAAACATTTTGATTTTAGTGAATGTCTAAAATTTCAAAATGATCATATTAGATTCAGAATACCTTAGTTAAAATATCCTATCATATTTCAGATTCCCTCAAAGCAAATATTTCTGTATTCTCCAAATTATGACAAATAATGGGAACTGTTTGCTTTGTGTGAATATAAACTGTTGTTTGGTGGTAGCATCAAACTTAGTTTGCTAAGAATTTCCAATTAAGGACAAGCTGTAATTTCAGAAGTTGAAGATTAACAATTTATCGGACACCAGGCTAGTCATTCTAATCCTTTGTGTTTCATTTTTTTCCAGGCTTTCAGTTTTGATTAATGCACACACACACACATATATAAACATGTTCACATTTTTCTCCTCATGCAAGGCTTAACAATATCAAACTAAAGTTCTGTTCCTTCTTCACTGAAATTTAAAGTTTTAGCTTAATAAAAAAAGAAGAGAGGAAGAAATGAAGTGGAGAAGATGGCATTTTAATATTAGTGTGTGGCTTACAAAGAAAACAAGAGTAATATACTAATACAATTGAGGACAACACTCCCAATTTCAGTTTAAGACATTTAGTTATCCATGCTAAAATGGAACATTTCAAAATTAGATTCCTTAAATTGTGATGAAAATTGTGATGAAAATATTAGTGCCATCTCCATAAGTGAAAGGCAGTTCTTCGGGGAAATTAAGTAGTCAGATGTGGGCTGATTTTTCAAGAATCAGATTTTTAAGCCTTGTACTGTGCAATTTTGATTAAAGATTTCCAGGAAGCACTGCTTAAACAGCATTTTGCTTCAACCTACTGAATGACGCTAGGCTGTTACTGAAGTCAGTGCTAACCCTCTCACTTTCTTTGATGAGGTCAGCATTTAATCCTAGAATGAATATCCAGTGCCATATTTATAAATATTTAGTATTAATAGTGGGTCAAAAGAAGCTTCAATTTCCATGACTACATTTTATAGGCAGTTGCAAAGCAGGTAAGAGAGACAGGGTTCTCTGTAAAAGGGTGTTTAACTAGCTGTCCTTAATTGTACATCATTTATCTCTATTTCAAAATCATTCTAAGTAAGTTGCAGTATTAAATACACCAGTAGTTTGAAGGGACTTGTAGCTAGAACATCTCTGGAATTACTTGATAATGTTTTATTTATAAGAATGCTAGTTATCCAACTGCAAGGATACTGTGATGGTTTAAGCCATAGTTCCAGAAGAATTTGGTATTGAAAATGCCCACATTTCAACAATACAAAAGAACATAAAATGTCAATAACTTATGAGTTCAAAGTATTTTTTTAAAACAGAAAACAGAAGACATAAAACTGCAATTCCTATTCTGCACACTGTATATTTTCATAGCTCAGTATTGTGTTAATGGGCTTTATAAGAGACAGCCAGAAATCCATATGCACTTGTGGGGTTTTCTGTGTGGCTGTGTATGTGTGTACTTGGCTTTACTAAGAATATTGTTTTTTGGCGATCAAATATTGGGTAAATTGCACCAAAAGGATCACACTTTTTCTTCTGCACTTCTGGACAACTTTGCTGGCTTGATAAGCATGTCAGATTTTGTTCTTTCTAAAAGAAGCACATTTAATTTCAACTCCCCCCCCCAGTGGTAAACTATATTCTAGCAAATAACCTTTAAGATAATTAGCTGACAATGCTGTAGCTAGCATAAAATTTTCCTTCAGGCGACCCCTAATTTAAGTGTTACTGGCACAAAGTGAAGACAGATTGTGCTTTATCACCACAATGTTTACATAGCAGAAACCCACAGAGCAGGCAACACGAGATTCAATGATGCACTAAATTAGGAACAATCATATATGAGTGCTACTATGCTGTCTTTTAATATTAAAAGAACCTTCAGATAAAAAATAGGTTTTCATGTATTCATTTTGCAATAAAAGTGCCTCCACCTTGTCAGGAACTCTGTAGTTTGTGATTAGAAAAATAACTGGTACCTGCTATTTGGGCAGAGCAGGCAATAAAAAAAACTAAAGCAACTGTGTATAATTAAATAATGTTCTTGAAATTAGTTGGGTTTTTTGTAAGCTGCCCTATAAATTTGACTGAAAGACTACAAAGAATTCCTCACTATGAAGAAAGAAGCTCTGATTTTCAATTACCACTTTAACAAATATCTTAGTAAGATAAAACAAATATCGTAGTGGAGTGTAACTGGAGGATAAATATCTAATCAATATTTATTTAAAAGACTAGAAATGCAATAATTTCAGGAAGATTGTTTTTATTTAAAGCCAAGATGGCATAAATTTTGACACAATGCTGTTTCCTAACATCAGTGTCCTAGATAAAAATACTGTTATTCAATGTATTCTCTCTCTCTCTCTCTCTCTCTCTCTCTCTCTCTCTATCTATCTATCTATCTATCTATGTTGCTGTATCTTTAAACAGGTTCATTTAAATTCTCCAAGGAACACTTGACACTGATTTTTATTTGAATCCACATTCTAAGTCTTGAAGAAAATGTTTTACCTTTCCTGCACGCTGATGTTCTTCAAAAGCTGTAATCAGTTCCTGTGCCCACTTTATTTTTTCAAGGCTTGGGGAAAATTGTTCCTGGACAATGGGAACTTGATTAGGGTGGATCACCTGCTTACCTACAAGCAAGATTAATAACCATAGTCAGCATTAACAAACAGATGTTCTAGCAAAATGTTGTAATTGCTAGTTCTGCATTACAGTTTCCCATTACTATTATTATCACTAGAACTATCATCATCATCATCATCATCATCATCATCATCATCTTAAAATTAACTCCCTTTTTAAATTTAACCTGTTCGCCAAATTTTTATTGAAACCAGAATTTAAATTAATTCTCAAATTAACTTCTGTAAACAAACATAAAGCACAGAATAATCCTTTATAATTCTAAATAAGTATATTGAAAATATTCCTTATGTAGTTAATATCAATACAGACTTATGGTTATTTATTTTATTTATAGCTTGTTTCATATCAAAATGTAGACTTTCACAAACATGGACCCATGCAAATGTTCTCTTTCTTAATGAAATGATACAAAATGGGTTATGTTTTTTTCTAATATGACTACCATTTAGGTTCTTGCTTGGCCAGCCAAGACAAACTACATAAAATTTAACTGAAAGTCCTCAACAAATTAACATTTTACATTTTTTCTTCACAATTTTGTAATTACAATGTAGTGAATGTTTCATTTTTTTAAAAAAAAGTATGTTCAATATGCAGTACTTGGAAATACTGAAAAATGGTTAAAAGATATTCCTTAAACAAGCAAAACAATTAAAAATAATTTAATTATATCATGTACTTTTAAGAAGTAATATTTTTTTTCTTTATAAGGAATTCAACTAAGGACAAATTATTCATCTGGAAGAAAAATATAATTGTTTCAGCATTTTGATTTTCAATAGTATAGTAGTTAATTTTATCCACAGTATATAGTCATAATTTTATATGTAGAGTGCAGATTATTATTTATTTTATTTTAAACATTCTAAAGGGAAAGAAAACTATTTTTAATGATCTGCTTCTACTTTAAAAAGGGTCAATTATTGTCATTGCATTCTATAAATACAATTAAATTTGAAAGCTACTCCAGCACAGTGCCCCAAACACCACATCACAATCACACTACAGAGTATTTAAAAATTAAATAATTAAAATATTTAAAACAACAATAACAATAATAATAATAAACCTAGTCTAAAACCTATCTAAAACATATAGTAAGTTAGATAGTTTAAAAATGCCACTATATACATAGGGCTAATTGTCCATGTCTTTAGGAATTTATTAATATAAGATCTATTTTATGGTAAAGATATCTTTTAGAAACCACAGCTTGCATTATTTTTTTCAGATTTTAATTATGTTATCACTTATAATTGAGGTAATTTGTAATGTGAGATTCAGCTGCTCCATAATTTTCAGTAGATTTATTTTCAGCTGTTCAAAGGCTACTTTGTAAAACAAATAAAAACATTAGTGTCCTGCTCAAATTCTGATTATTCCAAATTAAGATATTTGAAGTTATGTCACAAGAATGAACAACATACTTATGTACTGGATTTGCACTCTATTATACTCGTAAGCAATTAAATTACAATTTCAGAATAGTTTTGCACAAATATTTCATGATGAAAACCCCAATAAAATATATTTCAAAAGAAGCATTGTATTTCAAAACAGGGATCTCTAAATTATTGTTAAGTTATCTTTTAAATTGAGACATTTTTTTGTTTTGATAAAGATGTGGATGGAATTTAAAAATTATACACATAGCAAAAGGCCTTCAATCTTTTAAGATCAGCAACAATCTAAAAAGCTGCAATTGCATGTTGTTGCTCCTTATATAGCCAAATACCTTGTGAACTTAAGTGTCCAGCAGAATTCTCTGGAGACAGTCATGACAAACAGACTTCATTGATCTTAAATGGTTTCCTGTTAGTATGACCAATTCTGAATTAAACCCAGAGTCCTAATATAAATCCCTGGGCTATAAAGATTGACAGTTATCAAACATGGCCTTAAAAACTACAATGAATTTCAAAGTGTTGATTAAAGGTAATAGAAGCTATATACATTGGGGTTTCATTGCTAGAGCAATCTAGGACAAAGACTAACGTGGGATTTACACTTAATACATACTATTATACAGTAAAAGATTTAAGGTAAAAAGGAATTTAAGAACTTTTGGTAGGAACTAACAATGATATTTTTTTAAAAAAAAACAAATATTTTTGGTGTCAAATTTGGAAGGGGGCATGCAGAATTACAAAACAGAAAGGTACTATGAGTCAGTAATCAATTGTACCTTGTATATTTGTATGAAATTCAAATTTTCATTTATTACTGAATGAATATGAAAAGAAAACGGGAAATCACGTTACACTTCCTTCACCATAGTAGTCCTGAAAAATTCATTATCAATGTTTTTCATAAGAACGTTTTAACTAGAATTGAAGAAATTGAAGAAATTCAACTTCCAGATGAGGACCTATGGCAAGTTAGATGTCCCTATGAGTGGCTCCATGAGCTCGGACATCAACACAATGAAATCAGCGCCCAGGAGCCAAGTTCCAGCTTGCAAAAATCTTTCAAAAAGAAGAAGAATTTGTAGGATTGTCCACTTGTGGCCAAGCAGAGCTGCTCCTCATAAGGAGACCTCCAGAATTGAGTTTCTTGTGGCAGATTGCGAGTTAAACGGCTTAGGAATCAAGAGATTATCAGCATGCCTTTAACTACTAAGTAGGCTTTATGGACATATAATTTTACTAATTTACAATTGAAGAGATATTCCGAACAGCAGAGAAGATCAAAGGCTCTCAGGACTCTTGGAGAGTTGTCTTCTTCTGGGAATGAACAAGATTGTGATTCAGGAAGGTTTTAAATGGATAATGGTGTATCATACATTTTATATTCTGATGAAAGTGCTTTTGAAAATAGCAAAATTAATTAGACAGACTGGACCTTTGTGGGAATAGAGATTATTTATTAAGGACTGTAGATGACTAGTGGTCGGCACTACCCACTATGGAGGAATGACTAGTGAAATTGACAAATCTTGCTGAGATGGATAAAGTAGCATCCTTCATTAGAGAAAAGATAATATCCACATTTATTGGTGACTGGAAAAGCCTATCAACTTATTACAGTTTTAGCTTTTTATGTTCCTTTTTTAATTTTTCACTTTATTTCTAATTTCATTCATTGTAGTTTTTATTAGTTCTTAAAACTTTTAATAAAAATATATTAAAAATGAAAACTATTAGAAATTACGGGTTCTGAAATTATATTAAATTTCAACTATTTTTTAAAATGTTTGTATATGCATACTTTTTACTACATTAAGGCAAAAAGCCTTGAGGGATGTATTGATGCATTAGTTCAATGATAACAGATTTAGATTCTTCCAATAAAGGAACATGGTTTTGATTATGCAGTTGAAATTGTCATCTTTACTTTTTTGATACTCCCTCTCCCTTACATGCCATGGATCCTTCCTATCAAAGTCATTCTTAACTGGTATTATTGATAGCCAACTGGTATTATTGATAGCCGTGATAGCTATCACTCTTTCCTGATAATATTGCTCCAAGTGTAGTTTTAATACAAGAAGTCCTGTCAAGTAGATGCTAATATGCAAATGTGTTGTTTTCTGCTTTTTTATGTTGTCAGTGTAAAGTTAAAGAGGAAGCTGGAAGAAACAATGTTTTGAACTGTATGTTAGGTGAGAAAGTTAGATGATAGCAAACCATCCCAACTCTGTGGCAATATTTTCCAGAAATTATCCTGATGGACCAAACAGTTGAATCATATCCTCATATTTTTTATTTTATTTATTTTGTCAAGCGATTATAAGATAACAGGTATAAGTATAACATAGTTATGAATACATATAAGAAAAATAAAATGAAACAGTAGGACAGGGACGGTAGGCACATTGGTGCATTTATGCACGCCCCCTACAGACCTCTTAGGAAAGGGGTGAGGTCAATAGTAGACAGTCAGGTTAAAGTTTTTGGGGTTTGGGGAAGAAACCACAGAGTCAGGTAGAATATTCCAGACATTGACCACTCTGTTGCTGAAGTCGTATTTCCTGCAATCAAGTTTAATGTGGTTTACCTTGAGTTTGTATTTATTGTGTGCTCTTGTATTGTTATGGTTGAAACTGAAGTATTCATTGACAGGTAGGACATTGCAATATATAATTTTATATACTATACTTAGATCGGACCGAAGGCGGCGTAGTTCTAGGTTTTCTAGGTCTAGAATTTCAAGTCTGGTGGCATAAGGTATTCTGCAACGAGTAGAGGAGTGGAGAACTCTTGTGAAATATATCTGGATTTTCTCAACTGTATTAGTATCAGATACGTAATGCAGGTTCCAGACTGATGAGCTGTATTCAAGTATTGGTCTAGCAAATGTTTTGTATGCTCTAGTTAGTAGTGTGATATTACCAGAGAAAAAGCTACGTAGGATTAGGTTAACAACTCTTAATGCCTTTTTGGCTATGTAGTTACAGTGGGCTCTAGCACTTAGATCATTAGAGATGAGTACTCCAAGGTCCTTGACCTACTTCTGCATTCAAAAATATCCTGAAATGGTTTTATCAAACACAGTAACAAAAGCTGAAATCTAGGGCTTTTTTAATTTAAAGAAAAATTGCCAAGTTGTGTAAGAAATATTTCAGAATGAATTTGTGTTCTATTTATTTTACATGAGGCCTATAACTCAGAGAAACAAACCTCAAATGGGAAATAGTATGGAGTTATGAAATTCTAGATTAGGCTCAATTTGCCCTAGAAATCAACTATTGTCAACATTTTGCTGTCTGCTTACCTAGGGAAATACAAAACATAATTATCTCAAGAGTTCATATTTATCTTGAATGGGTAAATGTTTAGAAATCTGCAAAAAATCCATTGTGAAATTGACCAAATCTACACCTGCATATTAATACTCAGCCCAATCCTATACAGAACCAGATAGGATTGCTATTATATTTTAAAATATAACCTTCATTTGTGGATAAAATACTAAACTGATACTTGGAGGTTCATGCTAACAAATCTTGAGGGTAAGTTGTTTGATTTTGATTCTGCAAATGTTGGCTGGTTGGTTAATCATTTTAAGGTTCTGAACCAACAGTGGTAAAATTGAGGTCCAGTGGCCATCTTGAGAATGTATTATAAAGGATTGTATAAAGGAATGTATTAGAAATTTAATATCATCTGGACCTGCCTACCATTGGTATTAATTCCCCAGTTAGCTATGTGTTATCAAGTTTAAAATTTATGGTACTGACGTGGACAAATGCGTGATATCGATCTGCCTTTAGTCACAACTTGTAGCTCTTCCAGGGACAGATCTATAATTTATTTGATTCATCCATCTTCTTTATTTTCTGTTGTCTTCTCAAACATGCCAGGCATAGTTGATTTTTCTAGTCCTTTATCTATCAGCTTGAATCAAATGTCCAAAGTATGTGAATTTCTGCTTGCTGTTCCTACTTCAAGAGAACTGCCAGTTTTCATTTTATATGGAGTTATTCTTGCATTCCATGGTACTCTCAGAAAGTATCTCTACATCGATCATTTGAAAGTGTCTTCTTTCATTCTTTCTTAATATGCAACCTTTCATATCCAGAGGCCACTGGGAAGACAAGTGCTTTAACTGTCTTGTTCTTTGCTGTGATAGAAATATCCTTGTTCTTCATCATCTTTTCTTCAACAAACTTAGGCATCTTTTTCACTTTTTGGCTATTAGGTTCAAATGAACTTATAATTAGGTAGGCTGGTTGATACTAATAGCATTTGAAATATTATACCTTAAGTCTGATTCTTCACTGTCTCCTTTTTACTTTCATAATCCATTTTTCTAAGTCTTGCTTGCTTTTGGCTTAAACAATAGTGTCATCTACATATCTCTAATAGTATTTGGGACTCTGATATAGATAACAACATTTCCAAGTCTGCAATCCATATTAGAGTCCCAAATACTCACATATAATGACTGTAAATTACCATAATAATCATTGTAAATTAAATAGAATTGGGATATCCTTTTTTTCATAATCTGTAACCTTGCATTGTACACTTCCTTATTGTATTCATTTCTTCCATCTAGTATATACTTTCTACAGTATTCACTTTCTGACCTTGTGCCTCTCTGCCTTTTTTGACACGATAGTTCATTTGGCTTTATTCTCTTTCCATATTTGGTATTGTTTTTTTCTAAGATCCTAGGCTAAAAAAATTTGGTGTGAGGAATCAGTACAATAAGTCAGTAATTTGTGCATTCCTTTTTATTTCTCCGTTCTTCGGTTTGGTGTAATTTCCAATTATTTCCAGTTTCTAGGCTGGTATCTTTCCATAATGGTTGACAGAAAGCCTTTTCCTGTGCTCAAAGTGCTCTTTGTCTCAAATAAGCATATTTTTGTCATTATCATTTTTTAGGTATCTGAGTTCCTGACTAGAGCTTGGGAAATTCAGTTCGCATGCCTGCTCATGTATGAAACTACTAGGATAATTTATATAAGAGTTCAGTACAGCCTTTTCACCTTCATTTGCTCTAATAGATCTCTACTATAATTAATATTCATTACTTCAGCTGTATATTTTCTTATGATTTCTCAGATTTTCTTAAAAGTACCTGTTGTGTTCCTTTTTCCCTCTGCTTGGTCATATTTTTGATCAAGGTATTTATTCTTCTCCTTTCTTGCTTGGCATTGAAAGTTAGATGTTGATCTTCCTGTTCTCCAGTTTTTTCAGTTTTAAGGAAAGCTGTTGTTCTGACAGCTATTATTGTCTTTAAAATTTTGGGATTCCACCCCCCCACTTCAGTTTTGCCTATCTCTTCCAATTGTTTGCAAAGGTAAGTGTACTGAATATTTCCTTTCTGGCTGTATGTTATCCAGGTCAAAGCATCCTGACACCCTTATTCAGATTTCTAAGTGACACTAATCATTCATCATCATTCAACCCATAGTATATGCCTGGAACTTGTTTGAATGGTTCAGCCACGTTCTTACAAATAAGCAAGAATAAAAATGGTTTGTGATTTCCTTCTTCTGGAAAGTAAAGATCCTTTGGTTTGATGGGTTGCAGAATTTTCCTCCTGCTCACAGCTCCATACTTAATTTCACATTTCCCATTTGACCAGGTTGGCAAAACCAATCTTCTCTTCAGCTGAATTTTAAAACTGATGAAGCTCTTTTTAAAAAAAATGCTCACATGATAAAAATGGTATGTTGATAACCCAAGCCATTGTGCCTGTAAATCATCTGTTGACATACAGGTAGCACTGAATTTGGAAGAGTGTTTTATTCTTTAAAAATTCAATCCTGGCTATATACCCATAGCAGAATTCTTTAAAGTAGTTACCAAACTTCTGAGTGTCCTCTCAAATAAGATAGGATCTTATTTAGAAGATCCAACCTTCTTTTAAATAATGATTGAACTCATTTTTATAAAATGGTTTGTTTGGTAAAAGGTTGTAATTTGGCTATAAACAAATATGATAAGGGAATAAGGTTTGTAGGGTCAAGCTGAAATGCTTTAAACTGCATGGGGAAAATTCTTCAGCTGCTGTGTAATAACACAGCAACAAGAAAAGCAAACTAATATCAATAGGAAATACTCATCATGTGTTAAAAATATATACATTTTACTTCAGTAACAGCAAATGCTAATGTTTGCACAAAAATGAAATTGAAAAAAAATCATTACGATGGGCCACTCCTTTTTTTAAAAAAAATATTAGATTAGTTGTGACTGAGGTAGTTTTAATCCAGGTGAACAGGCCTTTTCCCAATTTTTCAAAGAAGGAAAAATAATTTGAGCGCGAGTACATCCTTAGCTAACTGGGACCAATCTTGAAATGTTCAGAAGTTCTGATTAATGGTAACCATCAGTTATTAGAAAGCTAGAGCACAGACTGGAAGGAGGCAATGAGAAAACACTTCTTTGTTGTCAAGAGAACTATACAGACATAGAAGTCAAATTTAACTTGAAGGAGATTTTCAATACCCCATTCAGATGTATAATAACATATTACAGTACAATCCATCTCTTGTGTATTATACTCGGCTAAGCGTTACAGTCAGTGTTGGATGTATATTTTGTGTATATTCGTAGATATTGTACTCTCAAATTGCAAATGGAGATGTGGGTACTCTATTTTTCTTATCTTCATTTTTAAGTGCTTTGGTTTTATTGTATTGCGAACAGTTGCTGGGGTGCATCCACAGTTTCGTTGTACTTGTACAATGACAATAAAGTTCTTCTAATTCTAATTCTAATTTTATCTTTTTGCTATAAAACAATGCTAGCAAAAAAAATTGAATCAAGTGAGTGGGAAACATGCACATATTTTGCAAGTAATCAATTCATTGGTTGATTCTTTTTCTAAATTCTTATTTAGAAGAAAGGAAAACAAATCTATCGTGTGTGTGTGTGTGTGTGTGTGTGTGTGTGTTTGGTGTCTGTGTTTTTCAGGATAAGTATTCACCATGCCACCTAGCAATTCTGGCAATTCTTTCAGTTTAATTCTCCCAGAAGCCAACAAGATATCATGTCTGGATTCAGATCTTTTCATTTAAAACTGGCCTCTTATTAGATTAAGAACTCCCTGGTATTAAAACTTGCATATCTTCTATCTAAAGCAAATGAAATATTTCACTGCAATGTTGGTGCTGTTGTTTTTGAAAGCACATTAAAGGCTGCATGTGTGAGCTAAGTAGCTGATTTTTATCACGAAGCTGCAATCTTTGTTATGTGTCGCATCTCACAGGGGTGCTTGTATGATCTAGTGTACCAATCATGGGTGAAATGCCTAGGTTACAGTGGCTGGCTGTAAGAAGCTTGCTTGATTGTGCCGTCTTGCCAGTTCCCGTAGGTGTCATCAGGTGAACAGGCAATTACTGGGAAACAAGTCAGAATACAGGATAGCAGCTCACAGAGAAGAGTGACAAGAAAATAGCTATCAAAGCCGAATTAGCATATGGGGTGGGGGTGGGGGTTTCTCATATACTTCATACTAAAATGCTGGCTCTCAAGATTCCCCCCCCCCAATTATTACATTGAATCTATAATAGCTATTTGTATATAGGGTAAAGTTTTCCTCAAATCAGCTAAAGACTTTTAAAACATCTTGACATTCAAAGTGTGGTGGGAAAATTTTTGAGCATAAATGTATGCCTGCAGGCTCGCTGAATGGGAAAACGGAATGTGCCCAGATTTTTGGCCAAGATTATGTCTCGCCTGAATGGTAAAGGGCAGGAGACTATGCATTGTTTATATTGTACTTTTGCTAATAAAAGAATGACACCAGGGTGTGATACGTTGAAAGAATTTTAAGGGCTTAATTTTTCCACCTTGAGTCTTTCATCTGCTGTTTTACAAGCATAAATTCTGAAAAGTTTGTAACGTTCAGACTTCTTTGACCATCCACCAAGTAGGCTTAAGCTGTGAAGCAAACTCTCCAGTATCGTATCTGGTCTAGGATTAAGAAGAAGATTGATGTATTTGAAATATTAACTAAAAGGCATACCAGTAAAACCCATTGAGGCACCGTCTTTTGATTGCTGACGTAACCCATCATCATCCCGGAAGTCTATATAGACAAGGTCTATGGCCTGCAAGCCAAAAGCTTTTGCTGTGACGATAATTTTTTGCCGTGCATAAAGAATATCATGAGTGTCTTTACTACTTGTTGATCCTGAAATGAAAGACCACATTGTGGATAAAAATTTAATTCTCATATTACAAATGTTTGTAACAGAGCTTTGGTTAAGAATAAATTTGTTTTTGATTTGCAAAAGAAAGACAGTAAGAGATCGTTATGTGATCACAATTTTTAAGAAATGGTTGAAAGAATATTATTCAACTCACAGACACCTGGCTTTCTGCAAAAGCCTATTATTTCTTACTACGTCTCTTTTTAATAATTTTCATTTTTGCTATCATCTATTTTTATTTGTTAAAAAGGCCCACTACATAGTTATGGATATAATAAAACATACACAAACTTTAAGAAAATATCCTTAAACATTGCTGAACTCATTTAATCAGAGTAGTGCCACAAAATGCATCTATAATTGCTTTTTTGGTATCACAAGGAAACTTTTTGGTTATATATATTACACTTATGCAAGTATACTAATTTCTCAAATAATTTATTCAAATTTAAATTTTTAACTTTTAAAACATTAAACGTTAATGTTTATATTTAATACCTTAAGTGGAATATTTGAGATTTGTTTTGAAGCATTCACAAGAGACCTACTGAAGATCTTATTATTCATCATTATATATTGAGTTCCTTTCCTTTGGAAAGACTGATTTTAAACTACATTCTGCTCAGAGGTTGGGTCTACATGTCAGACTAGAATGTGACTGTGTAGTTTGTGGCCTAGTGTGTGTGGAAAGTACCCAACATGATAAGTTTATAACTCAGTATGGATCTAGGAAATTGAGTTAATTCCTCAAGCCATAGTCAATTAAATATAGAATCCTGCATTGTGGGGACATAATCCATGAGTTCTTATTAGGAAATACAGTTCACACTTAGGCACCTGCCATAAGTGAATAGTAAAAAGAAAAGCTGCTGACCTTGTTTACTTTTTGAAAAATGATAAACAGCATCTGAAGATACAGAGGCAATAAAAATAAATTATTTGCCCAGGGCATTTTTAAAAAATCTGGTACCCTCCTTATGTCTTGGTCTACAACTCTTGTATCCCCAGGCAGCAAGCACATATGTTAAGATGTGTGCAATAAAATAGACATGCAAATAAAGACAGATTGCTAAAATATTAAGAATAGTTTATAGTTCATACACCAAAATATTACATCATACACTAACATTACTTCAAGATTTTTTTTTAAATGTTAAATTTGCATATAAAGAGATGGTCTCCTTATTAACTTCCCCCATAAAATCTTGTATTATTTTTTATGAGCCAGTAAACAGAATTTCCTATTATTATTTTTTGCAAAAATTACAAAATGGTTAATGTTAATTCTAGTACTCTTTAGCCTATAAAGATAATCTAAATGTTTATCATAGAATTACATTCAGATATAGTCAAATATATTTACTGTTGATTTCAGTAGGTTTATGATAAAATTGAATAGAGTATCATAACTACTACTGAATTAACATATTATTTAAAAAAGGAAATACCTATACTGGCACGAAAATCCTCGCCTCCAAATACCACAGCATCTAAATGAAGGCCAACCTGTGGTTCTCTTCTCAGAGTTTCTTCACAAACAGCCTTTAGGTGCAACACAAATATTAATACAAGAAGCAGCATTTCAAAAATTAGTTTTGCAATAAAAATATACTTTTTACTATATTCCTTATTCTAAAATAATAACAAATGATAGCCACACACAAATTAAAAAATACATACATTTCTGGATGCAAAAATGTAGTATAATTAAAATTAAAATGCAGAATATAATATTTCCTTACTGGTTTTTCTGATAAAGTTTTCTAATGTGGCAACTACATTGGGATTTAATAAAGCAATAAAAAATAAAAAATCACTACATAGTGTTTACAGTATGGAACTTTTTAAAAGATTCCAAAATATTTAGTACTGCAAAGAAACACAGCTGAAGCATATTTGGTTTAATACATTGCAGATGGAGATTGCAACTACTCACAATTTAATAGGCAGCATATGGTATGTTATCAACTGATGCTCTTTGGATATCTTCAAATTAATATGATTACAGGAGATATAAAATGCAACAAGTAGCATAGCAAATCATTTGAAAAGCAAATGATACCTTGGGGATTTTCTAAATGCAACAATCCCAGTATCATTGCAAGCTTTGAATAATAAAATATTTATTTATTTAGAAATATAATTTGGTAGACAGCAATAATGCAATGCTGGCAAGGATCTTCTTGTGAATAACCGGTACTAAAATAAGTTCAGATGCTTGTATTTATTATTTTAAGCAATACCATAAGCAGATATACTCAGTACCTCAGTACCTACTCATAAGCAGATATGCTACTTTATTCTCAACAACTCCTAGGAAATCATAGTTGATATTTTTCAGGGCAGAATTTAATCTTTCTTTTTCTTTGGGTTTCATTTTTGAGGAAAGGCATAATTAAAAGAGAGGAGGAAGTACTTTAACTTTTTGCATTAAGATGTAAAATTAGTATTTCTTTCGCCTATATTGAAAAAGAAATATCTAAAACTGGGATTTATATTATTAACACACCAGCCACAAGGGCCTCCCAGCAGCTCCTTCGAATAATACCAAACTTTTACAAGAAATCTTGGCTTGACTGGGCTGCACTCAATTTCAGCATTAATATCTTTCTTCCACAGAAAACTGTGGGCTGGATGCCAAAAATAGGCTATCTGCATGCATTCATCACTACTGACATGGGGGAGGAGGTAGAAAATGAATTTCTGGGGCCAAGGAGAGAAAGAGATTGTACACATAGTAATGTCATGCAGATATTTCAGCCTGGAAATTCTCATGAATTTTTTTTTAAACTCTTAGGGCCGGCTGAGCGTGTACATTAAAAAAAAATAATCAAGAAAGAATATTGGAGAAAAAAAAATATTTAATATTCTTTCGACTTCATTTTAAAATTCTTTTAAAATATTTAATATAATGCCTAAAATTCAAAGGCAAATGAGGGAAAATAAATCATGATAGTTTTGGAATATTTAGAAACACTCTTAGCTATTTGGGGCTATTTTTGAGACTTGCATTCTTTTATTCGGTGCATTAATACTGACTAGCTTAAAGTAATTACAGCAGTACAGAAGAAAGCAGTTATGTCAGATGCATCTATGTCATGTAAAGCTGAATAATTAGGGCTAATGAATGGATTTATATAAAATATGAAAGCAATATAATTTAAAAACATAATAGTTGGCTTCTTTCCCATTCCTTGTTATGGTGGTGTTATTTATTTAATGGAACGTATAATCTATAAGCCTAGGAGTTTATTCAGGCATGCTAAATTAAACAGATCTTTCTTACCTTAAAATTGAGCAAACCCATTGCAGTTTCGACAAAAGGAATGAAATTGATCGGCTCTACGAGTGTTCGGCTTTGTAAGTGCCACGCACATTTCTCTATAAACTAGGAACATTACAGAGAGGACCTATTAGGGCCTGGGATTTTTAAAACCTCTACAAAAATGGTCTGAAATTTCTTTGCACAAAATTGCAGACCAACCAAGCAGACAATCTAGAGCCCAGATTGCCAGTCCAACTCTCTGCCCCTGTGTTTTCAGTCTGTTGTTATAGGCCTATCTTGAAGAATGCTGGCACTACTGTTATGTTTTCAGCAGTACAGGTTTAACTGCATACATATTTGCCTAACACCTATCATCACTCTGCCTTTGTTAAATGCAAATAAGCAGAACTGTAAAACAAGGAAGGAGTGATATACCTGACATTCTGTTTTCTTTCATGTCTGACACTGACATGTGCCTGTATATTTTTTCCAGCCTCCCAAAGTGGCATCCACATTATTCATCACGGCCCTGTTACCCTTTGTCCTGGAGGCCTTTTCTTCATAATTTTTAGCTTACCTAGGAAGGGCCTTAAAAAGGAAGTTTAATTCTTTGAAGACCAAAGCTTTCAAATTTTTTCCATGAGAGCAGTTCACAGCTAGCTCTGAGCTGCGGGTGGGGTACCCCTGATTCCCAAATCTATCATCTGGGAACATACAAAAGCTCTTGTACAGATTTCTTTTTTCCCTTTTCAAAAGAGAAGGTGGGGGAGAAACTACCGCAGTATATTGTAAATCTATTATGTCTGTCCAGATCTAGCAATGTGTGGGGAGATAAATATATCACAGGTATGCTAAGTAAATTTTAGTCAATAAAGACAAGAAGGGGGAAAATCTTGGATCATTTTTATATTTAAGGAATATTTAACCATTAATGGCTATCAAAGGGAAAGGGAATTTTAATCATCTCTCCATTCAGTCTCAGTTGGGTAAATCATATCTAAGAGATTTGCATAAATATAAACCATCAAAGACTTTTCATCTTCAAAGGGGGTTTCAAGTCCCTGTAAGCTTTGTACTGTAATCATCACAGGTCACAACCCTGCAGGAATAAGGCTGCTATGGCAACATAAAAAAACTAATGCTTAAGGCTTAGCATAATATTCTGACTAATATAAAGGAAACTCATTTTGAAACCTGGCAGCCTATTTACCAGAAACTGGATTAGAGGTGTTATTTCCCCTTTTAGCGCTTCCCCCTCCCCAATTTCACCCCTCCCCAAAGCAAAAGGAAAATAGAACCACAGCATCTTGAAAAGGGTTCTAAGCACTTGGCAGTAACTTTACATTAGGTCAAAATAAATCAAAACATTTTTTCTGTATATTCTCCGTCCTTCCCTCTTTTTCATGCACAGTCATCATTGTCACCACTGCCGCTGCTTTTCCGATCTTTTCACAAGCTAGTAAACCCCAGAATGTAAGGAATTAAGGCGAGAAAGTCAAGAAAAGGAAGTAAGGGCCAATAGCCTGATTTCCAATTAAATGGACACAGATCCAAAATCTGATGCTAGACTCAACAGTGTGATAATCAAACAAAGCTATTCACTAATGATTTCACAGGCATGAATTGGTTAAAACTCAAAATCTAAATTTTACATGGGACCTTCTTTCTAAGTTAAATGGTTAAAAAAAATGGAAGCTCCTCCCTTCCCCCATAGAGCTACTTCTATGTATCTGCTGAAATCTTTATGTCTTGCATTTTGGGACCGTCAGGTAAAGTTTGGATCTAATAATGTTTCTTTTTCCTATTTTAATTATTTTTGTCTTCCTCCTTCCTTCCTCCCCCCCCCCCTTTTAAGTACTATTAGCACCAAATACAAAAGGCAACTAGTAGAGAAGTTTCAATTAATTTTTTTCAAAAGGAGACAATTAAATGTTTCCGGCTTGGTAAAGTGTTCATTTCAGTGAGAGGGCTGGAAAAAAGGAAAGGGGGGAGGCAGAAAACAAAGATTGGGGAGGGGATGAAGGCACAGGCTTTAGCCATTCTTTCAATTCCAGTGCACACCCAATAGTGTGTTGGGAAGAATGCCCACTGTTCAGGATTTGTGGGCGGATTGTCCCACAACAAAAGAGCCAGAGTTAGGCTTGTTATAGTCCAATAAGCCATGCCAGTCAAACAAGTACCCATCTGAAGGACAAAGAGAGAGCAAGAGATTCTCACACAAAAGGGAACAAGTAAGCCCGTCTTTTAGTTGTGCATCAGTCTCCAGGTTTTAGGCTTCGCATAAATCAAAATGAAGGACAAAAATAAACAGCCAAAAGCTTTCCATAGCAATAGCCATTTTAAAAGCAAAGTAAGAGGAGAGCATCTAGCAAAGGGTAGGGGAACGAAAGATGGGCTCTGCTTCCAGGAAAAATCAAGGCTGAGGGAAACTAGAGTCTAGTCCTCTCACACCCAGTGAGTATTTATTGAATTGTTCTAAAACCTTGGATAGAGTGCAAATATGAATATGCATAGCCAATTCTCAATTGCATTAGTCTGCTGTTTGCTCAATCAGCAAAAGGCCTTTAGATTTTGCTGTCTTTTTACATATACTTTTTATATATCTACAAAATATACTTTTTGTGTATTTATATGTACAGTATACGTTTTATATAATACACACACACAATGTAAAGAAAGTAAATGAACAGAAAAAGAAATAAAAGAGAAAGCTAAAATTGCAAGAAAGGAAAAACGTTAAAGAAAAATAAAAAAGAGACAAAATAGAATTAGTTTCCAATCTTCTTTATAGCAGTTGTTAAATACAATTATAAAAGTAGATCTTGCTGTCTGAAAGAGCCACTGAATGTGATAAAATACTCAAATTGATTCCTTGTGAGTATGTTTGAGCATACTGGACATTAAGTTTTCTGAATGTTGGAATGTTTTCTTTCACTGATAGTCAATTAAGAAGTAGACTCTATTACTGGATAATACTGTCCTGACTTGCTGACTGGCAAGAATTATAAAGAACCTATGGCCACTTAATACTAGTAGGTATAGACTAGATGAGGACACCTGTTTGAACTTCAGAATCTATTTATCCCCATATTTTTCCTTTATGGATTTTATATTTAATGTGTGCTCATCTTCATCCCTACGCAGGGCTCAGAAAACAAAGTAAAATGAAGCTTGATTGATTTCAATAATATGCTCAAGAAATAATATGGTAAAATGAAATGAAAATTCCTCTTCAATAGTCAACACAATTATAGCATAATTAGGCCCGTTTCAGCATTTTCTTATGCAATTTGACAGACTATTTACATCTCCAGTTTCTATTGGCTGAAAAGTTAATCATGAAAAATAAACACACCTGCCAGCAATTTAAAAGGAAGACATAGAGGGCTGGACAGGAAATAATATCTTTCCTAATTAAAAACACTAGTTAAAAGTTTCCTGTTTGTTCTTTGGGCTGCCCTTGGGAGTGACCTTTCCTTCTATCTCCACCATAACTTTTTCACATGTTGGTAAAATGCTTCCTCCATCCACCAAAATGTTCTAACATGGCTGTTAGTATCATGAACAGGAGCACTGATTCTTAACAGATTTGTTTCATTTTACTTAGTCCAAACTGAATCATAATATATCAATGTTGCATTTTTAAATCTAACTCCTTTTATCCACACATAATGCAACTGCAGTTACAAACTATTCTCTTTGTTCTGTGGGTCTTGAAAATAGAGTTTTAAATGTATTCATGTGATTTGTTCTCCCCTGCTAAGAAAGTCTACTATGTTCAATGTCTCAGAACTGCATAGGACAACCATCACAATTCTCAAATCTGATTTAGTGTTTGCTTAAGAGAAGATAAATTACTTTTTGATATTCCAAAACAAAACAGATAAATTATACCGTAGATGAACTGAATCAACTACTAACAGCAGAAGTATGTCATATTTGCTTTATATCATTTTGTTTTTTCCCTTCTGAAATTGGACGCAAGTCTTTATCTGAGATAATGGCAGATAAAACTCACCCATTTTATTTCTTCTACGTTGTCAACCTTCGGGAGCATCAGGCTAGTAGGAAGAATCTTGGATTTCAAAATGACCTTCATATCTTCTTCTGCAAGACCACTAGACACTGAATTGATCCTAACACATTTCTCTGTCTGACCAAAGTCGAAGTTCTCAAGGGCTTCCACAGTTTTTATTCTAGCTTCTGCCTAATTTTTTATTTTTTTTGGAAAAAGATAAAGAGAAACCAAATGCATTGTTTTACTGAGAACTTAAGTTTGAAAAAAAAAATCAAGTTTAATTAAGTGAACAATGGAGAAATTCACCTGCATTACAGATCATGATATAGTAAGATTGGACTAGATCACATAGTTGTAAGGGTATCCATGGGCCGTGGTCAAAAAAATCAAGATGATGAAATTCTATTTTTTTTTCATGTGCATTGTATATGTTATCTTGATCTTTTTGACCATACATTGTGGACACACCTGCTCAGGTACTATTCTTTTTTAAATAAAAGCAATTAGGCTTAGCCATAATTTAATGTGTTTCATCAACCATTCATGAGTCATAGCAGAGCACTTTAATTTGAACAAGTTGAACAGGGTTGGATCTAATTGGCACTTGGATGGGACAATCCCATTGAAGAATCCTAAGGTTATATATATTTTTCTTCTTCCTAGCATTTTCTCACAAGTGCAGGCTCCACTTTTTAAGGATCCATTTGGTTGCAGCAGGAATTGATTGATGACAGGCTTGTCACCCAAGCGTGAAGTCATGGGCTGAGAGAGAGAGTGACTTTCATGCCTATAGCGCGACTAGAACTCACAGTCTCCAGGTTTCTATCTTGGTTCCTTAATCACTAGACCAAACTGCTCTCTAGACTAAAGCTATACACTAAGGTGGAAAATAACTCCTTTCCCCCTCCCCCCTCCAAATGTTAGAATCTAGAATCTTTGTTTTTATGATACCTTAAATGTGATTTTTATATTTGTCATATCTGTGTGTTTTTAATATGTAGTTTTATTGCTTGTGGAGTACTGCCCAGAGTCACCTATCAAGAGATGGGAAGCCATATAAATGTAACAAATACATAAATAAAATAAATAGATGGCTATTTCCATAGTGTTATCATAAAAAAATTAAACAGACAGACAGACAGACAGGCAGATAGATAGATAGATAGAGCAGAGGTCAAAATCATCTTGAAAGAGACTTTCTTTTTTATAAAGGAATCGTGATACTGATCTAATAAAAAATATGATTGGGTCATACATGATTGATCTTCATTATTCATTAACCTTGGCCAAGTACTGATGGGAAATGTAATTCAAGGACAGAGGAACTAACTTGGTCCATTAGCTAATATATAATCCCAATAACTGAATATCAATCATGAAAAGATTAATCACGTTTACTGTTAAAACAAAATTTCTCATATTATACTATGTTAGATAACACTAATAATATATTATTCAGAGCCAGTTTGGTGTAGTGGTTCAAACTTGGCAAGTTTAAGACTTGTGGACTTCAACTCCCAGAATTCTTGAGCTAACATGACTGGGAGTTAAAGTCCACAAGTCTTAAAGCTGTCAAGTTTGAAGAAGCCTGGGTTAAGGCATCAGGCTAGAAAAACAAGAGATCAAAGCTATAGTCCTGCCTCAGGCACTAAGCCAGCTAGCATTACAAGGCACTAAGTCTCATTGGCAAGATGGGTGGCATGAAAATTAATTAATTATTGGAGTTATAGGATCAGTAAATTGTCATGTGTTTTACTAGTATCTAGGGCAAAACAATTTAAAAATACAGCATAAAATGTTAAGGTTGAAACAAGACTTCAACCCAGCCTTGGAAATAGAGACAGAAAAGATTTAAAAATGTGTTCTGCATTAAAAAGTCTGAGAAAACAGTAGTTTACAGTTGTCAGAACTGATCAGGATGAGATTCACAAGACTGGTATAAAGCAGCTGTTACCACGCACTGATTTATGAGAGCAAATATTGGCACAAATGTAAGTTTAGAGAGAAGAAAGCAATGCCCCTCGTCAGAAAGTGTGAAAAAGGAAGAAGGTTATTGACTCTACAAACAGTCATCTGATGAGGTTTACCATCTCTTTATCTGTGTTACTTCAACATGCCTCAGGTGAGGAAATTTCTAAGCACTTTCTTAGTGAATTAGGAGCACTTTTTTGTGGTTTCCTGGGACTGGGAGATTTTCTTTCAAACTTCCACTGGGGTCTCCTTTGAATAGTATCCTCACTCTCCCAGCACAATGAAATGTGGAACATAATGAATTCATGCAAAATTATTATGAGATGGTGTATTTCTCCTTCTTGAATTGAAAAATTTATTGTACTTTAAGGCAGGGGTCTCCAACCTTGGAAATTTTAAGCCTGGCGGACTTCAATTCCCAGAATTCCGGTTGCCAAGGTTGGAGACCCCTGCTTTAAGGAACAGTAAAATAGATCATTGTTTCTTTAAAAAAAACAGTACATCTTTCAGGACACCTATCCACTTTTTAAAATTTTGGAGGATTTTGTTTGTGTAGGTTACATTTATCAACATTTAGCATATTAATTAAAATTGACATATGCAAATTTTATTTATTTATACTATCGCAAAAATAACAATATTAAATCGATTAAATGTTAACATTTTTTATTTAAAAAAAGACTATTTTTAACAAAAAATAATAATGAGAAGAGTGCCATTATTTTACTTTTTTGCAAACTGAAATATTTGATTTTGTAGACCACTTGGAGCAGAGTTCCCCAACGTTTCCAATTTTGCAGACTGGCGGGGGTTGGAGGGGAAGAGAAGGTTCCACGTGAGCAACTGGCAAACACATGCGCACACAACTCCATTTGTGTGAGCAGCATGCATGAGCCCCAGCCGCTCCCACAAATGGAGCACACACATGCACTCGCTTGTTGTTTGTGCAAGTGAGGACGTGCGCATGCACCTGCAATTGCCAGCCGTTTCTGCAGCCCGGCTGCAATGGCTTCACGGCCCACTAGTGGGCTGCGACCCATACGTTGGAGACCCCTGGCTTAGAGAATCTAGAGAAACCCCCAAAGAGCCTTGGATAACTCTTCAATAAACACTGCAAAAGATCATTCTGCTCATGCCATCTAGTGCTAGATTTCAACAGCTTCAAGCAGGTGATACTCTACTTTGCAATATAAACACAATTGATTCACAAATGAAGCATTAGTCCCCCACAAGAAGCCAAATTGCAGGACTTAACAGACACAGGCAAAATATTGTCTCCAGGGGCCTCTGCCAATATGGATCTCCTACTCCCAGAGAAACAATATAAGCATTTGATGGGCTTCTCCAGTGTTCTGATGCAGTGTTGTCCACTTGCGATGGATAAAAGAAGTCAAGATAGCAAAGGTGATGAACTTTAAAAAAAAGGGATACCATTTTGTATACTTACCTCCACTCTCCTACTCGCCATAAAAGCCCCAGTTCTGAAAGGGTTTTAGAGAAGGTGGAGGAAAAGGTGGAAAACAGCCTGAATGAGCTGTTCTCCTTTTGTGTCTGCCTGCCTGTATCATTCATCAAAGGTAGGTTTTAAGTTTGGAAGTATCTGACTACATAAGCAGTTAAATGCTGCTGAACTACCTTGTCTTCTATGTGGAAATAATTACTTTTATAAAGAAGCATGAACCAGGCGTGAACCCTGTCCACCCACCAGAAATTACAAGTGATAAAACTTGGACACAGATTAACCACCTCACTGAGAACCTGTCCATCAGTCTGTTGCTGTTGGTAATCTTCAAATATGTCCCTTTTCTATAACGCAACTCAAAATAACCAACCAGCAATGAAATTACTGTTCTTCACTATAGTTCAACAGAAAAACGTGTTACTGTGAGAGATTTTATGCTCATGCCATCTGTTGGGTGCAGGATAGAAATTTCATCGAACCATTGCATTCTAGCATTGTCCGTTTTAAAGGAAATAGGATTCCTTGGCAACACCAAGTCACACTGTTACTTTATTATATTTTATTAGGCTTCAATCAAAAATTGTGAAGGAATGCACATTTGGTACTTTTAGAAGCTATCGTCATTTTCAGCATCCATTTATTCTATTTTATTATTTTTAGATCCTCAATCTCAAGTTTTCATCATTAACAGCAATAAGGGCACTGAGTTTTAATAGTTTTAACTTCCCACGCATAATCAGTGTGTATGGGTCATTCATATGAAATGAGCTAGAGAAAAACCATGAAATAGTTTTCTTCTCTTTATTTAAATAATTATAGAGTTTCTTTTTGGCTCCAGCTAAAAATGGAGGAGGAATAAAGAAGCGTTCCTGCCATTCCTACCATTTCAATTAGTGCAAAGTTTTGGGTCCTTAATTTGAAAAAAAGTAACTTCTGTCTTTTCACAATTTCAGTGACACAGCTATCTGCCTAATTTTCTGGCAACAATACTTTGCCTCTAGTTTTGGTATTACCTGGAGGAATCCCATCCAAATATTCAATAAGGCTTAAACCTACTTATAAACAGGTAAAGCCAGCTGGGTGTTACCATATGTGGAGACCAACGTGTACTATATACAAACACAGTGTTTTATTCAATATCTGTTTTCTACTATCATACAACCAAACATTTACGTTTATGTATTTGATTTCTATCTTCCCTCTAAGATCACAGAGTGACTCGCATGAGAGTTTCTCTTCATTGTATCCTCAAAGCAATAACCAGTGAGATAGGCAGGGAGATAGGAAGGAGTATAACTGGCCCAAAATCCCAAGTGAAATTTTTTGCAGTAGAGTCTGAATGTGAATTCACTTGAGCCCATTAGTAAATGCTGAACTATTTACATCCATACCAGTGATGGGATTCAAATTTTTTTACTACCGGTTCTGTGGGCGTGGCTTGGTGGGCGGGGCAGGGGAAGGATACTGTAAAATCTCCAGTCAGAGATGATATTCGCTAGTTCTCTGAATTACTCAAAATTTCCACTACCGGTTCTCCAGAACTGGTCAGAACCTGCTGAATACCACCACTGATCTATACAAAAGAACAATATAAAGCAACAGACTGAGAATAATTTGGTTTACAATATTGTGTGATGCATTATATCAGTGGTTCCCAAACTTTTTCAATCCACCGCCCCCTTGGTGCTACAAATTCATCCTCGGTGCCCCCCATCCAGGGGTGGGATTCAAATTTATGTGGGTGTGGCCTAATTTG